TCGACGATCAATTAAATAGTAGGACAATATGGAATATGAAAAACAGAGAATTTTAGAGGACGATTATTTGCCCAATGGGATGAAATGGGTCCACAGAGGTTCACTTCATTCATCCATTCCTCTGGATTTCACCGTGTGTCGGATGTACGGTACTTAAGCATTTCACTCCCCTCTTTCGATTTAGTACTCCACGCACATATTCCACCCCAGTGTCTAATCTCTCTCCGAGAGACTGGAGAGACTGAAGATTTTCACCGCTGCAATCAGTTTTAACTGTCGAACTGCGTATAGCCTTGCGTGAATCGCAGAGCTAACCATTCTATCCAGAGTTGCCAGATGACAATTTGTTTTATTTTATTATCTTATACAGTCACAATTAATCAAATGGAGTCGATCATGTGAAGAATCGACGTCTCGAACACCGTAGTTAATATCTTATTCAGAGCTTTCTGTGATCTACCCTATTCTGGAGGAATCTAAAAAAAATTTGGAAAAGACCGTCGCCTGGCAACCCTGATTCCATCAGCCGAACAATTCGGAAGTTGAATTTTGTGTAGTCGTGCAGAGCTTCTAAATAATCGGAACTAAAAAGAAATTGGAAAGATGCAGAAATTTGAAAAAATGCTCAATTGTAATCGGTTCTATAGTTCACTAATTAACAATTCTCTATCATACTCTGCCAAGACGGAGATCAACCCTTTCAAACCCGAACTGGATCAGGAATATGCATTGTCATTCGGCCATCCTCGAGAAATCAAAACCGCATCAAGTTAACCTCTTCGAACACCAACAAGGTCCTTATCCAAGAAATTTCATTAAAAACGCTGTACCAGTATTAGACCTAAAACAATTTGACGTGAAGCAGATAAGTTTATAATTGTGGGTGTTTAAATTTCTAAAGAAAAGATGAACATAAAACTGTCACAGGCAAATTTTATCCTCACTAGAAAAATCCTTAATGTACTTAGATGCATAAGAATTTAACTATGGTATTTAACGATTTTCGCAAATTATCCTTCGCTTCCGTCACAACAAAACAGATCTCAGAACATCTAACAGTGCTAAAATCAGAGAAACAATGTGGCATTATTGGACTATGTCTGTTCCTCCAAGAAGATAACATTCAGACTACGAGCGGAATATCAATCCAGCATTAGAGACAAATCTGAAATTCTACGCGGACTATGTCCCTCGAATAAATTATATTTTATTCTTGGATGGCCGCAATCACAGGCTTATTCATATCAGAGCCACCTCTTTTGAATTACTGCGTTCACATTGATTTTACAAGTGGTTTCTCTGACCCTTCGATAGCAAGTTTCCTTCTCTCCCCCCATCTGACGATTTTTTTAAATATTTCTAAAGGTATTGGCTTGATGTAATGTCTGATATCTTGTCAGTAATTATTATGGCAGGCATGATCTGATTAGGGAAATCTTCTGTTTAGAGGTGTAGTATTTTCGGGAGATAATGTACATGGAGAATTCCATGTGAATTCCACGTGGTCAAAGGCCTCACCATTGTCGGACATATTGTTGTTTCTTTTCGTGCTTGTACTTGTAATATAACTTTTTCAAAAAATAATATTATTTTTCCACTCATTTATTGATTTCATCATAAAAACTTGGAAAATTTAGTCGTTTTCAAGGTTGACCAATTTTTTTTCGTAAAAACTTCTTTTTGGTTAATTTTGTCATACGCGTAATAAACAAAATCAACGTCCGACTGGCGTATCTTATTTTATATTTCAGAGCATAGGAGCCGGCCGATTACAAGCACGTAATCGACCAGTTCCTGCAACCTCAGGTGTAAAAAAAAATTTTCCATTGTTTAATGTAAAGTAATTCGATATTCAATCTAATCTAATTTGATTTGAAATTTATTTCAAAATTGTTTCTTGTGAGGTCACCGGCTACCATTGAACCGCGGCTCAATAGCAGCTGGTGTCATCACAAAGGATAACTTCGGGCCACATGCCAAATTAACATATCATTTTTTACAACCGCGCTGCTCGGCTCACCGATTCTTCATGAAAAATAAAAAAACCTCAATATCTGAAAATTCTGGACATGGTGACAAATTTGATTTGATTTGATGTACACATATATTTTGGAAATTTGATATGGAAGGCATCACAGAGGAACATTCTCAAAGGGAAAAACGGTAAATCGATCAAATATTTGTGGAGATATTCCTGAAAAAGTGTAAACAAACTGTCAACGGCCTTTTCTTAGAAACTCAATTTGACTTCCAAATAAAATGATGCTTCACCGTTGGTTCAGATGATTCAATACGTATGGCATGTGTATGGACGTGAGTAAATTGATTACTAAATGGCAGGTGGAGTTCAATGACGCAGTCGAAATCAGAGGAAAATTAGTGGTGAATAAAACTGCGACGAGTGATTTTGAAGAATTATAATTGATACCATGGGGTGTCTCATATATTCAAAATAGAATAAACAAAAAGGAGTCGAGACTTCATCTGATGTCTTAAGGTGCAAACTCATTACTCAGGTAGGAATCATTGCGAACACAATGAATTCAGATGAAAAAGGAAAATAAAATTATAGATTGATGTTGAGCAACTAAGACTTACTATTGGACGAAACTTCAAATTTGTATTAATAAATTTCATTGCATTAGTAGTATATTTACTAAAACGTGACCACCCGAAAACCGAACCCTCGGACACAGATGTAAAGTATATTACATAGCTCGACCAGGAGAAGAGAAATACCTGAGATTACATGAAATGGTTGGCCGAGGCTGACAAACATATGATCTGAGGGAGTTTCTTTACTGGCCGAGGTGTGTATTCAATTTTTCTACTCGACGAGCCTGAAAATCGTAATTTCTGGGCGGTGCGGCGGAAAAAGCATTCTTCTTCTTACCTCGGTCGAAAGTATGTACTTTTGGCTGCAATTTTCAAATAGACAGTCTAAATTTTACGTCTTGGTCAAGCCACACGCATGCCCTCTATATCAGCGGAAGTAAAAACTTACTCATGTGCACTGATACTCGTTACATGAGACTCCCATTACATTTCCTCCCTGCCATTCGCGCTAAATTTGTTATCTTCCTCATAACCTCCAAGTTTGTTTGCCGAAAATTGGTGCTAATGGTTGTCAAGGAAACTAATTGAGAAAGTGATAAGTGTTGCAAAAGGATATAAAAACCATGAACAAAATATCATTATCTGATGAAACGACGGACAAAGAAGAAATTAACAAGAATTTTGAACCAGAAGCGTAATTAAGCGTGGCTGCTGACACCTTACCAGCAAAATCTGCTGATAGATACATTTTGCGTGCGAAACGTATACATAAATAGAGAGAAGATAATAAAAATCTAATTGTATATTTCAAAGGGTTAAGTCCATCTACTCTGTGGAGTATGTCCATTCTATGTTGCATGATAATACTGGCATTGATAACTTTCATAAATTTAGAAGATTTAACCGAATAAGTCTCTCGGCTTAACGTGTGATGAAGTTATGGAATTTATAAATAATGGGCAAGACCACGTCTATTTAGCTTTAAAAGTAAATATTCATAACCCTAATTATTTAATTAATTAATTTATATATTTATTTTCCTATCTTGAGATTATCCTTAATTTTTACATTTGTAAAGCTACTAGGTATGAAGAACTTAAAAAACTTGAAGTTGCCGGCGTGGAAGAGTTTGGTGGCAAATACCTTATTTCGATAAATGACATGAAGAATGATCTACCTCGTAAATTTTTAATTGGAGATTTTTTTAATGAAGGAGTTAACAAATATATATTATTAAACCCCACTGATTTTAACACTAAACTGAGACAAGAAAAAGAGTTCGGCCAGGCGTGCATGCTCATGACCGCAATTTTCCAATACTTGATTGTTGTTGGCAATCCAATCATTCATGGATTAATTTTTTACCTTTTCAAACGCAGTATGAAGATAAACCTGCGAAAATCAATAGAAATTCTCAATTCAAGAATGCGCTCACGATTAATTCAAGAATGAAGATCAGTGGAATAGAAAATAAACATATATATAAACGGACGGACGGTATATATATATACTATATAGTGGCCGTGCGTGGCCGTGCATTAGCGTGGTAGACTAGTATACCAATGATCCGGGTTCGATCATGAGCACCGGTGGTCAAAATTTATACTGAGGAGCAGTAGTGCTGTCAAAAGAACGACTGTATCAGCGCAGGTTTTCTTCCTCAAATAAGGTTTTTACCTCCCTTCGGCAAATGCGGTACAAGGGCTTCGGGTTGGGAAGGGAATAAATCGTAAAAACCGGCAAGGGTCTACGAGAGAAAAAGTTTTTTTTTTATATATAAAAATGGAATAAATTGTAATGAAGCAATTTTTCGGTTTGAACAGGTGAAAATTATAAATACATTCATTTTATCATAGTTTTAATTTATTAACATGAAAATGGTACAAAATATTCGAACATAGGAATAAATAACTATTTATTCCTAGTTAATTAGAAAACACTATAATAAAACAAATACTATGATTGTTCTGATTATGATACAAAAGTCTTCCAAAAGCGTGTACTTATACCTTCATGTCCCAGGTAGGAAATCACCAAAGGTCCAAGCTTCAACCAAGCCATTCTCAAGACTGGCAAAGCTTGGATCAGGCTTGGTATCTAGGCCCGGACCGTTGGCGGATAAACATTGGAATGTAACGTGGGGCCAGACCTGGTAATCAGGTCTGGCCCAAGCGACTCCACCAAGATTCATCCAGACCTCGGGACTAGCTTCGTACCAAGAGTGGTTTTCTATAATACCCTGGCTTGACCAGGGTTTGAAGCTAATTCCGATTAGAATTTACGGGGTGGGTACATATTACGAACGAGAATCTATGAAGAATAATTAAGTTTATTCAAATAACTTAAATTACAGTTCTACATAATATAAAATTATTGAATTTTAATGAACTTTAATTTTTTTAACAAAATGCGTGAAATTATCAGTTCGAACTCACTAACTCACTTTTACGTTCCACCTTGCTTTTTACGTTGTGAACATCCACCATCTCTGTCTCCAGCTCCTGATAGCCAATCACTCGTAATTGATATGATCTTCAATGGTATGTTGGAGTTCTTGTATTTTCCCTCAATAAAATCTGGAAATGAAGTAAAAAATAGTGAAAGAGTGAGTCAATTTTTGAGGGTCGATTTAATATACCAACCTCTTAAACATGCAAAAGTCAGTGTTGCACTGAAATTTCTCTTTCCCCTGCCTTTAACAACGCGGCCTACGCCACTGTAATTGAGTTGCACTTCTTTGGAAATTAATTCTTTGAGAATTTTTTTAATATCAGCCGCATAATCCATCCCTTTGTTAGTTAATACACCCATAAATGCTTTCTAACAAAAAAATTCACAACGGTAATGACAAAAAATTGAGAGAGGCGATTATGACATCGAAAAATATAAATGCAATCCACAAAACTCACAAGTATATCCTGTTTTTGTAAGGCCTTCTCAGGATCAGCCAAATTATCCTGATGTGTCGGATCTAGAGTTTTCTCGAAGTCCAGAAACTGTTCGAAACTCTTAATGGGGAAATCTGCGGATAGTCCTTCCCTCGGCGATGTTATAGGTTCACCTCCAGCGACATTGCAGACCATCATGGAAACCCTCAGCTCCTCGATTTTCCTATTTAGATCGTATTGAATAGATCGTTTTAGGCTGGACAAATCCTCACGATATTTGTACGTGAGAAGTTCTGTTGTGGCGTCCCAATAATCTGCGCAGAACTCTGAAAAATACAAAACAAAACAGAAATATAGCAGATAAATTAATTTTAATGTTCATCATAATATCATTAATACCTACGTTTCAGAGGGTCTTCAATGGCATTTTCTCTCAGAGTTTTGAGAACTGCTTTCAAAGCAAATTTTTTTTCTCCTTTGGTGTCACCGGACTCTGTTCTACCTAATAAACATGAGAGTTCAAGGAGTTAAAAAAAAGTACAAATAAATCTTTCACCTAGAAAAAAGTGAGGACCGATATTTACCTCGCAATGTTGTAGCTCCAGCCTCCTCAAGACTTCTCTGTTGACCACCATCTTTAGAGATTTCAGCCTCATGATCTCTCGATGATATTGCCTCCCTTTCAGCCTCCCTTTCCTCTACAATGTGCTCCAGCAGAGAAAAAGTTCGCCTTGTTATGGCTGCAGCCTGGTTTTTCGATATTTTGCCAACACAGCTTGCCTCAGTCTCCGAATCTGTCGAGTCTATGTTAGACCGTTTCCTATAAAGACGGTTAATTCGTCTCTCAGCTTTGTCGTAATTCTCTGTGGAGAAAAATGAATCAACTATTTTGAATTTTTATCGAGTGTACTATTTTTTCGTGATAAGGACAGATGGGTTTTGATTCGTCGATAATCAGGCTATTTTTCATGAAAAATTTCGACATAAAATGATTCGTACTGGCACTTGTTAGGAGTTCCACGCCGAATGTCTTCCATGACGATTGTGGAGGAATGAGTTCCTTCACCATTTTGCTCACGGAATGATATTGGTTTGGAGGAGGAAAAGCACACGTGCCTGTTGTCGTTCCCTCGGTCCTGGTAACCCACGAGGCTGGGACAATTTCTAGTGATTTTTTCCCATTTTCTATCATTTCCTCCACGAATTCCACTATTTGATACACTTTTTCGCACTCTTCCATTTTGCACTGATGCTGGAAAAGAAGAGATAATTGTAAAGTTTATGAGCTAACTACATACATTCCTTTCAGAACTGAATTTAACAAAGCAAAGAAATTAGATCAAATCGCAGGATCGAGCGTGGCTTTTTAGGGTTATATACGTGTTATATTAAATTAACAACGTAAGTCCGCCAACGTAAGTCCGCCAAACTCGCAACAAATATAAAAGTAATCAACATTGAAGTCTCTTTATTCCAACTCATGAAAAAACACAGAAACACTTACCTAAAATATCGAATGGATTGAAGTACTTGTGGCCACAGTCTTCGGGAAGTAACGCCCTGTAGAAAGATGACGCAATACTACACAGTTTTTATTTCTCCGCACACGATAGCACTGAAGTTAGGCAATTCACTTGTTGTTCATTCGATAGCATAAGCATAAATTAATTTTTTCCTTAAATTTTGGTTATGTAGGTTAAACAAAATAAACAATTCACAGTCAACGAAGTACGCGGCACTGAGAGCTCTAGATGATTGAGACAGGGTCTACCCCCCCTCACCGCGTTTCGTGGAATTCTCTTCCCCTCCTAAGCCCCTCCACAAATTCACGCTTACTAAATTCACATAGCATCGAAAAACCATGGTTTTATCAATAAAACGACGAAGTCATTCACTACAACCACTGAGGTTATGAGTGAAGTAAAGACACTGCATAAAATTTTTCTTCAAGTTTCATCATCACGCACTTCGACTTCACGGCACTGAGTGCTACAATTCCACGTGAACCTGCCAATCTCTCGATCGCGAAAACGCCAATTTCTTTTGACTGACAGGGGGCATTAAACACATTGTTTAAACATTCTATTTTGAAGCCATCCAAGTAAATATGGTGAATCGATTCTTCATTATGAAAACAGTTTTTTTTAATCCACAATTTCGAAATAATGAACAATTTTTGTGTGATCAGTTCTATAATATTATTGGGTTCTACGTTTTGCAGTACCATGTCTTTGTACGTCACTGATTTCACCGATAAATACTCTTCGCCGTTTATTTTCATTATCTCAGGTATTCTTTCATGTTTTATATCGCGAATTGCAGTACGTGGTCTCACTTTGGCAGTATCTGAGAAATCAAGAGCATTGAGACGATTTACAATTTGTGCTAAGGGTTTTCTTCGACTAGTCACAAATTCTTTTAGCTTTCCTATAAAATTCTCCCCCCAGAAGGCGGAATAGTGACTGAGGGAAGTTTCAAAATGTGCTGCATCGTCACAGAGATGGATAAGAAGATGAATTGTCATGACGACACTGTCTTCTCCATAATAAGTCGACATTAACCGGACGAAATTATGCAATAAGATTCTTGCCATTGGAAGACCTCTCGTTATTAACCTATGACTGCATAATATACGACATGCTACGTAAAGTAATAGGAAATGCTGATACTTGTCATCGTCAAGAACAAATCGAAGTACAATACCGCCTGCGTACAGAAGTAAAAAGGAGCACTGAGTCGCTTTCCATTGTCCAATTTCTTCCACATCAAACTCCTTCCTTTGAAATTCTGCCGTAACAAGTCTTCATTGAACTCATTAAATCAGAAAATTTTTTCAGCTGCTGCACCGATAATCTATACTGATTTTTTTCTCTCTTCACCCATTTCTCCCCAAGATTCTTCATTACGTTCAAAAACAAGAGATGCATAATATCTAATGAAAAATCTTTGACAAGATCGAAGTCAGGAATTTGAATGAGTGGCGAAACCAGCAGTTGCTGTGTTTGTTTGTTTCTCAAGTGGTGATTGGGATCTGCTTGAGCAATGAATGTATTGTTCGTTCGTAATGGACATCCTAAATCAGAGTAAACTCTTCTCTTATTAATTGTTTCACCTTGAACGGTGCATCGTTCACAAGCATAGAAAGCTGTGGGGCCTTTGATGCACTTGAGAAAAGCCCTAGCTGGACTATCAGCCACAATCGCCGCTATTCTAAAATTATATTTTCGACCATTGATCACAACTCCCTGGATGATCAATTTTTTGGCTTCATCGACAAAATCCTTTAAAAAGTCACTTACATTTTTCGGCTTGGAGCGACCGTAAAAGAGAGCAACTACAAATGGAGCACAAGTATATTTTTCACTCAAGAGTTTCATTGTAATGGGCCAGAGACTTCCTTTAGAACAATGATACACCTTCATTCCATCAATATGAATTAGCACCGAAATTGTTCCCTCATGGTAAATATTTGGATCTATACGTTTCTCCAAACCATTTAGAATCCCCAGATAAAAAAATTCGCCAATTTGATCTCTGTAAGCTACCATCGGTTTAGTATTCACTCGATGATTGAAGCCCAGAAGACTATGGGCAGTACGTGGGACTTCAACGTGTCCCTCGCTCCGCAGAATTTCTAACAATTCATTGACTACTTTTATCCTGATGCTACCTAAATTATTCAATGTTAACTGACGAATTTTTTCGGTAAGAGTCTGAGGTGTTTCCAAGTCAACTCGTGAGCCCGACGGGTAAGTCTGCTGAGTGTCTGCATCAGGTACTGGAGTGACAGGTGCTTTCACATTATCATCATGGTCGTCATCAGGGTCATGATCATCGGAAGCAATCGGCATAAAAGAAGAACATCCAGCGATTTGCAGAGATGAGTCAGGTCTCGGAAGTGCATTCGAAGTTTCTACGAAATTTGGTGATTCATGGAGTGAATGTTTTAGGTTAGGTTCTATTTTCTCGGGGATCTCCTCAGAAGAATCCGTCGTCAAATCACGAATATGGTCATCAGAACTGTCAAAACTATTGCTGCTATTAGAGTCATTCCATTTTTTCAAAAATCTATGTTTTTTCACACGTCCCTTTGAACTCGAAGAATCCTTTGCACTCATAATTACCCGTGAAAACTACTGACTGAAACGAGTATAACGTAGACACGTTGACATTCGTATTGTCGAGGATAGGCCTATCTGGATAACACTACCGTAATCATGTTCGAAATCTTTTGGAATTAAAAAAATTAATTCACTTTAATTTTCAAGAATTGGGTTTTTTAAAATAATTAGAAAAATATCAAAAGCCAGTCTGGGCCCAGTTTTGGTTGAACAGCAATTACCCAACGCTAAGTAACCCAAGCTGTCCCCAGGCCTGTTATGTGCTTGGTAGCCAGGCTTGGTATCATGGAGGAATCCAACCTTGGAACTAATCTGGTATGACCAAGATACCGAGCGTGGTTGGATCCCCTACTACCAGAGTTTGGTAAGCCGTGACTAGTCCACGCTTGGCCCGGTCGTGAAGCTTGGCAATTCCTACCTGGGGTGTAGACACAATTGATTTCTGCCCCCGACCAGCAGCACTCGCTATCCTCGTACAACAAATGTCGAAGGCATCAATGTATTTTTTGCTGCACACATGCAATCAGTCCATAGTTTCTACTGGCTACGAAGAAGAATAGTGCACACTACATGGGCAGATGATGCCCTGTTCAGGGATTTCAACTTTCTGCCATTGTGGTGTAACACATTATTTGGAGAACGTAATTCCTTTATACGTTTCATCCCATCTTCCATTGTTGTCAGGCAAAATTAGAAAATGTAAAAATCCAAAAAATGCAATACTTCCATTTAGAAGCAAAAAATTGAAGGCTCATAGTATCAGTTGAAAAATTAAAAAAAAAATGGCGAAATCATCTAAATGATAGAAAAAAAAAATTTTACGTAAATGTTACCTCACCTCTCCCATTAAATATTTCATAGTAATTATCAAATAAATAGTGCATAACTATGAGTAACAGTTGCTTCGGTTTTAAGTTTATCTTTCGGAAATTGCTTGGAGTCGGATGAATTGTTAAAATAATGCAGAGATAATAAATTTCTGTAATCTTCGATCCCAATTTTTCTTTTTTATTTACAAATGCTTTACTTACCGTAATGTATTAAAATGCCAATTTATCAAGTTTTCCGCAGTTCCCGTTGACGTAATCCCAATTCCGTGATTTTTTAACTTTGTAGCTCGACGATTTCCAACACAAATGAAATGCTTATCACTTGTCAATTAAAAAAAAAAATAAAATAACCTTTACTTTGTCTTAATAATTGGTTTCATGTCTAGAAAATGAATTAATTAAAACATTCGAAAATCGCGGAACTGAACAAACGAAGGAAATGGCGGAAAAGGAAATTCGGAACTGTTTGTGGTAAGGGGAACCTTCCTTGACTACTACGATTGACGACTATCCTGACGATTCTTATGTCTTGACTGTCAATGGACGGAGACTGACTACTTGCGACTATTCACTACTCTTCTTTGGGCGCCCCGATACATTCTATTACCTTAGTTTTTTTTTAGTGTTTCAATCCATGTATTTATATGGATTAAGATGTGTTAAATAAGGAGGGGACATCGTACGATCTCGATGCACCAGGTACGGACACCTGAACCTCCTGGTGATAACCTCGGCACTTGCATGGAGACAATTCCAAACGTTATACTTACCAGTCACGTAATCGTTATATAAAGATTTTTTCTTTTTCTTTCATTTCTTAGCCTTTTCTCATTTTAATCATTTCCGCAATATTTTATATTTTATCATAATTTTTCTCTATTTTTTCAATTTTGTTTTTGTTGTCCTAGCAGTTCTATTTTTTTTATTACTTGAGTAACGTCGCTTAACTTGACCACATATGCAAAAGTAATGTCTATTCGTACGAACAATGAGAAAAATTTATCTTCTTTTTCATTTTTATGCGAGTAATATCGATCGAAATTTAGACTTGGTCCTGTTACGAAATTTCGGGCGATGGTACTAATTGTTCTTCTATTTCAATTTCTTTCATTGTTCCGTTATTCGAATTAAATAAGTTCATTATTTTGAGGAAAATGTGCGATACCTCTCCAGACGTAACATAAGGAATTACTTGATCAATTGAATCCTTTGTTAGATCCGCGCTAATTTACTGTTTTCTAAGAAATATACATTATAAAGCAATAAAGCTCTTAACTTAACTCTTAATGACAGTTACTCAATTCTATTATATTATTTTTTTTTTAATTTTTCTAATTAAAAATTAATTTTTTAATAATTAATACACAAACAAAAAATCATTAATTGAGCTACTGTGACGTGAGGATAATTTTCGACCGTCGATGAATTAGTGATATGCATTTTTAACCGTTTAGATTGGAAATCAGAGGTAAAGCCACGTATGCAGATGGAACTGTCCCCAATGGCACCGCGGAATATCCTTATTATGTAAACACTCTTGCCAATATATATCTACTATTTTGTATACTTAATGAAATATCTACAATTGTAATAACTACGTATAATGCTTGCAGATAATTTTTCCGAAATTGAACTAATTCACTATTTAATAACGTAACTAACGGGGATCATGAACAAATTGAATGGGGCCCTTCAAAGGGTTTGACCGGATCGTATCGCTATACCACACGTAGAGTTAAATATAATCCATAAGTAAATTATCCGTGTTTGTAGCGCTCCCGTTTTCTTCAGTTATTGGTATAATTTCTCTCTTCCTTTCGTATTTAGGTATCATCCCACACTGAGAAAAAAATCCCAGAAAAATTACTGTGCTCGGCACGGGAATCGCAGTGCAAAATGTTTTATTCGGAAAATTTATCGATGAGGCTAAGAATAATACCTAAGTACACCATGCTTATTTACGGGAAATTGAAGATTTTTCGACATTTTCATCAGTGAATTTTCCTATGCAGCACAGTAAAAATTCTGAGGCTAAGAGGCATTACTGCGAACGCAAAGAAAAAATGATTAACATAATATGATCCAATACTGTGAAAATTGCCACACGCCTCTTTGCTACTGCGAGATTTTTACTGTGCTCCCTATGAATATTCACAACACCCCTCTGGTTTGGGATGAAACAATTGCCGATGCCCAGGGATTACTTCCGGACGTTGTCAAACGTTTTACTTGGGCTGAAGTGCTTAAGATATACCGCCAAAC